ATAAATATCGATTATTTGTCACTCGTTTCTCATTCTATTCAGTTGCAATATATCCTTAAAACGATCACAATAAGAAGTAATAATGCCGATTGTTAATAATAAAATGTCCCTTTCTACAGATTTTATAATATTCGTTTCATCGTAATAAGAAACTTTACCGATGCTTTTATCAATATTTGGCGAATCTTCGCGACTTCGAGTCGTTTGAAGTTACAGTGAATCATGCTTAAACTGACACAAGAAAACGAAAAAGTAGGGAATTCTCAAAATTTATTGAATAACTTGCACTCCTTTGATCTCTCGAGCCGGAACATTTTAATGGAATGGAAGTTTTCGTTTATTACCGACAAAAGATGTAACAGCCGCTTCTTTGTGACCAAAATTGGACTTCCTTCAATGTTGATTTGTCGGGAAATTTATTTCTTATAATTAAAAAAACAAAAACTTCTACTTTTCCATTTTATCGAGATTCTACACCTGATACTCGTTTAAGATTCTTCAAAGTTAAATTGCTTGTATTCAAGTAACATTTGACTAATATGAACAAGAGTTTCAAAATCGAATTACTTAAGCAGTTTCGAGCAACTTGACTAATCTAAATGAGGCTTTAGTGTCTAAACTTTGTCACGTCGACATCAATAGCTACAATTGTTGTTGTAATTAATTTACAACTTAACTATACTGATTTAAAACTTACTACACCATACCAGAATGCATCGAAAATCGTGATAGAGGATGATTTCTCTAAATATAAATGTAAAATAGACGAAATAGAAACAACTAGATTCAACTCATTTTCATTTCCAACAAATGCATGAAGAAACTTCATTACAAATTATCAAAATCTCTCGAATCGATGGAAAAAAAGAAATATCGTTTTCTGATGATAATTAAATAGAATCCTCGACGTCACCAACTTAACGACCATTTTCAACGATCATATTTTCTCGCCGAGAAGGCCAAGAGGGAAGGAAGAAAGACACGGATGTGCGACCGATGTAATTTCGTTTAAAACGTGCAAGTGCGCTTGAAAGCGCTGATGGAGGACCCTCTTCTTTTTTTTTTTTTTTTTCTTCCCTCCCCCAGTTTTTTTTCGACAGACAGGTAAGCGAGACCGTTTAAAATCCGTGCCGACACGCGAGCACCCGTTGTATTTTTAATTTACTGCTTCCCCCCCGTCGGACACTCTTTTGCTCCCATTTCGTCTCGGTATACCTATGCCCTCCGAACAAAACCTTGATATCTTTGTTCCTCGACTCTATAGAGGGGGAGGGCCGTCCGTTTCCAGCAACGAGGAATTCAGGTCAACCGGAACGCAAGATTGCCAACGTTTCGTTTCCCGCTTCGTAGGAACTTTCAACGAGTCGACTCCGCGTCGCAATTAAATCTGCGTTCGTAATTCCAACGAAAAAGAGAAAAAGGAAAAAAAGAAAAAATAAAACATAGGGAAAAGAAGAAGAAAAAAAAAAGGAAACATTTTTACATTTTCTCATCCTAAATGGTAAAAATGGTACGGGATTCGAAAGATCCGATGCGTTTAATCGCTTTGTTTTCCCACCGGTTTCAGCCATTCGGACATTCCCGAGTTCCGTTTCCTCAACAAGAGAAGGGGCCGTTTAAAGTCCTCCCTTCAATCCTTCCTCCCGTCTCTCGTTACCATTTTGAAAGAGGAACAGGGGCATGATTCTCCTCCAACACCGTGACCGCGTTAACGCCACATTGTTGCGCGATCTTTTTTCATCGAGTGTGCGAATGGCGAGGAGGAAGGGATTGTTAGAGGGGAAATTAGTGACGAAGCTATTTCTGCGTGTCAATGCGCTCGAGAGGTGATCGTGTTGCTTGATTAAAAACGAAAAATATATAGGGGAGATATATACGCGAGGGAGAAAAGTTCTGTTTTTCGAACGAAATTATTATTGGTAATAATTCCTGACTAATTGTTCGATGGAAACAAGGGATATTTTAACATTCCGGGTTGTAATAACGGTACATGTTTAATTTTGCTTCTCTTATCGATAGTGTTGCATTACATTCCGTGTATCGAGCATCGGTTGTTCAATTATACACTGTACATTGCAGTAATTCTAAAATACATATTAAATATCGGATCGAGGATCGAGGAAACAACGATTCGATGTAAATGAATTCTGTAAAATTCCAGGAATAATAATTATTGAAATATGAACGACACGGTAGCTGGATGATTTTAAAAAAAAAAATAAAAGAAATTAAATGGAAAAAGAAATCGTTATGTGACGTTAAAAAACGAATTTACAAATCGACATTAAACAAATGAATTAATAACATATTTAACAAATATTCGATAATTTATTAATCAAAATATATTTGAGAATGTTTAATTGGCAAATTATTAATTCTCTGTCAAAAGTTGTACTTGATGGAAATGAGGAAAATGATGACTGATAACTCGAAGCATTTCTACGTCAGTAATTCGAGACGTTAGTGTCGGTTCGTTAACAAGAAGAGTAACATGGTAACGAAGTAAAGAGACTTATTTACCATCGTCGAGAATACGACTTAATCAAGGGAATAACGACGACGAACGAGATATCTCGAGTCGTTCAGACGATGAACAGTCGTAAGGTTGACTTGGCTGTCTTGTTCTCGCCAAACGAATAGGAATTTTCATCGAGTTCTGCACGATACAGACATCAACGACGTTAAATCGAATTACGATTGCTCGAAGACAAGACACTGATAGATCTCGAAGCTGAAGAACCTTTCAAGAAGATCGATGAAACGCTCTTTACTGAATCAGCTCACAGAGCTTTCCTTGGATGAATTTTACGCGATTCTCTGATAAGAGACCAGAGCAATTGTTAAAAATCATTCTATCCTAACCTTTTCGAAGATAATTATTATTTGCCTCTCTACAAAAAGTATATTCATCCTAAATTATTTTTAGACATTATTAATAATTATAATTGTTAAATGAAACAGACATTGGAAAATATTTTATGACCACTTTATTTCTAATTCCTATTTCTTCAACAATACTCTTTTCCATGTATTTTATTTTCGAATCGTAATAAGACGAAGAATGAAGAACAAGAAAGAAATATTCCAATATAATATAAAATCAATGCAATTTTCGATCGAGGCGCGTTAAATGAAATCGGCAATGTAAATACGAATGAAAGGATAGTCTAGCCTGATTGTCTATCAAAAGGGACAGGAAGAAAGAGTCGCGTGAATAATTCTAGCTAGCAAAACGGAGAACGCTTGAAACAAAATCCTATTTTCGAAATCGAACTCATTCGTCCGGCGATGTGTCGGACGATCTTTTCTTCGAAAAGGGAACAGACGTTCGTAAAGTGTATCGCGGATAATGGATCAGGAAAGCCGTCGGTCTGATAACGTATCAATTTCCTGTCCATTTTCCGTGCGATCCTTGTGCACGGGCATAGACATCGTACTCGTAAATCATACGATCACGTCGCTTCCATGAATGTTCGATTAATACGTGAACCGTGAGTCGAATATGGGCCGAGTCGATGGAAAAATAACACGAGACAAGGTATTGTGATGGAAAACTAGAGAAAATTCGTTTCCATTCACGCCTTTGTCGCGTTTTGATCTACGATTTCGATCTGTACGACTCGAGGATATTTTATTGCATTAAGAATCGTCTCAGAGTAATTTCATTTTCGAAATAGCTTATTTCCAACAAAAGTAAATTCTTGGAAACAATTTGTTCACACATTTAGACGATTTTCTTCAAGGAAATATATCTTTGTCATTTTTTGAACGTTGAATAAAAGTCACTTCTAAATTTCCAATTATAGAAATGGAGGATACAGATCCGTCTCATCCTTCAAACACCGTAACACGTATAAATTTTACTCTAGTTTTCCACCAAATATTATCTTGAATATTATTCAAGATAACATATAACAAGGTAACAAGTAAAATAAGATTTTCGATAAATCCTATCCAACATTGAGTGGTCAAATTATTTCGTATGAAAAATACCAGAAAAATATTTTCGTACCAGTTATTTCAAAAAAAAAAAAAGAAAAACATTCATCGATCAACATTCGCCCACCCATCATACCTCACAACTGCTCTTGCATTTCTTTACAAAAAAAAAAAAAAAAAAAACTCGTTGCAAAATTTTCCATTCCAAAACCGAGCATTTATCGCAGGAAAGAACGTTTTCCAAACCGTATTTCGAAGGGTTACGAGTAATCCCACGAGTCGGTATCCGGGATTGCACGGCTCCATACCATACACGCGTAGCTAGAGTAAGAATGTCCGTCGTAACGTGCTCGTTCCACCGCACGAAAAACCGAGTGAAGGCAAGTAGCTGTGCAACTCTTGTTTACAGTCGAGAGAAAAAGGCGGGGCAAAGTTTCGCGTCAATCTTTTTGTCGCCGATTCGCCGGGCCACGATGAAAGTTTACGAGGAAGATTACCGTGAAATGGCGTAGGAAATACACGCAACTTCTCCCCTGATATAGGGAGTCCCGAGCGTGTCTTGTCTCGAAATATGAAATCGGAGTGTCAACACCAGTCCACGCTCTCCATTTCCATTTCCACGCTTCTTCGTGCCATTTTGCTTGTTTACCTACTACATTCTCATTCAAATCTATTTAAATGGGTTGGGGACGTTTCTCAACCTGTGTGTGGGTGGTGACACTTCTGTTAGCATTCGTTTATTTTCGTATTAAGTATACTGAAATATTTCAGAGGGATGATCCTTTTTGCTTCGACGATTATTTAATTCAAATTTGGACGAGAAATAATTTCGTGTATCCATCCTTTAATGTACGTCACGTATCAACGATGAAATTAATTGAAGTTATATATTATGTGATTCGTCTCTTATCAAATATTACATCAATGATATGATAATTAGGCTAAAGAAAGTATTTACGTACTATATAATTTTTAGCCATTGTAGAAAAATATATAGAAAAATTGATAGATAAAGATTAAACTGTCAACTGTCAAAAAAGCAATAATCTTTCTTATTTCAGCGTGCAAGCAGCTGTCGAGATCGGTACAAGGGATCTTCGGCCCATCCGACCCTCTTCTAGGCGCCCATATCCAGAGCATTTGTGAAGCTCTGGACGTCCCGCATCTCGAGGCCAGAGTCGACTTCGAGCCAACGTTCAAAGAGTTCAGTATAAATCTCTATCCATCTCAGGACCATCTGAACAAAGCCTTCAAAGATCTCATGTCATTTTTAAACTGGACCAGAGTGGCCATAATCTACGAGGAGGATTACGGTAAGCATTCACTTCAGCTTAAAACGAAGAAAAAACATTTACATATACATATATGTATATCTCCTTGCCCGTTATACTCGAAAACCACGATTATTCAAAACATACGCACAAGTAACGTAATTTCACAACACGTAGCGTCGTGTTGGAAATATAAAAATGGTGAAATGAAAAATGGAAAAAAAAAAATTGGGGGAAAAAAGGAAAGAGAGAGAACGCGACGAAGAGAAGCATAACGCGATGCAAACAATGAAGCAAACGTTCCAGGTGGCAGAGGATTTGCAAGCGTACGAGTGCCACCTCTCCAAAGGAGTCACGGAGCATTCCAGCCGTGACGTGTCATACAGGCTAGTTATTACGCTGTTCCTTTTTTCTTCTCGTTTCGTCCCTCGTTTTGTCTCGTTTTTTAACAGCGCCGCGCCGGTCGCCGTGATGCATCCCTATGCAAATAGGGACGTCGGAGTCAGCCAGCGGAAGTGGATGCCGGCGCGACGCTGAAATGTCGGGCCTGTCAACCGCACGCACACGCACGGAACTGTTCCGCGTGTAAAATCACACGATTCGTAATTATCCTTTTGATCCTTGCTCCTCGTTTTTCTCCTCTATCTCGTTTCTAATGAATTCTTTCGATAATCACGGGAGAAATATTCGATTTCGAGAAATATCGAAAGATCAAACGAGGTTTTTTTTTAGATTCGTGGATAACGTGGTTCGTCATTTTTGAGTGAAAATATGATATAAAATTAAAATTCGTAATTTTGATTTCGTAAAGTGTTGAAAGAAGATTTTCAGAAACGAGGTTTTCTTTGAGTTATTCTCTATCCTTTTTTGACGAGAGAAATGGAAGATTTATCCCAATTAAGCTCTTCTTACATTTATTATTTGAAAAATTTGATGTCTCAAAATATTTTATTTCACATGGAATAATTTAAAAAGATTTAATTTCAAAAATTTCAAAAATTAAATAATCGTGGATTATTATCACCTTATTTTCATGATCGGAAATATTGAAATTTCACAGAGTCGAAAGATTGCAAGCTACTTTAATTTCAAGTTTCAATATTATAGCTTTTAGCAGATAAACTTCTCGAGGTGAGAACTGCACTTCTATTAATTTTTCTCGAGTTTTCTTTTTTTTTTCTTTTTTTTTTTAATTTAAATACGCGAAACTTTAAAGTTGAAGAAATATTGAAACGTGTTCTTTCGAAGTCAAATAATTATCGACTTCCAAATCCCTCGCGTAAATTAATCTTTCAACACCAGAGATCTCCAAACCTTCATTTTCAGCCGGAGCTTGTCTCGTTAACCTTGAATTTTCCTAGGTCAAAGCGTCTTTCTTTGCCTTGCCGCGCCAAATTTGCTTCTCTCGTTTAATTAACACCTTCTAAAGTCAACGGTTTCTTGTTCTTGCAAGTTTCCAACCCCCTCGAGCTTTTTGCCCGTGAACGACAGGAAGGTGAACACAATAGGAAATAACTTGGCCAACGAGGTACAACCAAACACTCGTCCAAGTTTCCATTCTATATTTGTAGCACGCTATTATGAATTCTTTTTTTTCTTTTGCATCAAAATGCCATCAATGATGTTTTATCCATACTATATAAAAAGCTTTTTATATCAAACATCGATCATATGTGAAATTGATTGAAAAATCTAGTTTTTATGTATAGGGGAAAAAGCCTTTTTTATCTCTCGTTTATCTCTATTTCGTCTATATTTTATGTTAAAATTCCATGCACAAATAGAAAAAATGAATTTTTCGAATGTCTTTTCATTTCGTTTCTTGGATTCGAACAATTTCATAGTTTTAAATAAATTTATTCTCTATTTATACTCGATGCTTTTATTTTATGAATTATTCGGAGAAGAATGGAAGAGACGATGATTATTTGCTAGAAATACTTCTCTTGATTAAACGACGTAATTGTTTACAAAGAGGAAGAAGGAAAGAAGAAACGTTCGTTGCAAAAATGAAGAAAATATCCTTGGAATGATGTTTCCTTTTTCTTTTTTTTCTTTTTTTTTTTTTTTTTGTTAGATTTTACGGCAACCATAAATTTCTCAGTAAATACGTCTAAAAATTCCTCTTCCTGATGAAGCATGTCACCGAACATTTCCTATATATTCCATATGATGATATATATTTTTCAACGCGTCTATTCATTGAAAATGCGAAAAAAAATGTCGCTTTCCGCGACACGACAAAGCTTTCTCGCGGCTCGATCGTTTAAATATGACTCAACTTTCTCCGCTCGATCTCTTTCACAACAAAAAGAAAATTGTTTCTTAAACTTTTCCATCGCATTCTGCCCTGCGGGCTTTAATAAACTCGATTAAAATGTAATCCAATCAAAATTCCACCCTGTTTTGACATTGAACCAAGGATATAAACTTTACGAAGCATGATCGGAATCTCATAGAAAATGCCAAAAGAATAGAAGACCAAAGATTTATTTATGAACGAAAGAGGAAAGAATAGCAGTTTTATACGTCCTTCTTTTAAATCTATTTTTATAGTGATACACACAACGTATGGAAATCAGAGTAGCTATCTTCTTTTACTCAAGAAGCCTCGAAACAAAAAAATTTTATTCTACATTTTGCCCGTATATTTTCACCTTATAATCCACCATCTAATATGCAATATGAGGCTTTCTATTAATATATAGGCTTTCTATTAATATCTCAGTTGCACACACGTTCTCGTACAGTTGTTTTCGTTACGGGGCACGTATACGTATACGTGGAAGACCAGCCCGTATGCAAATTGAGCGACAGGGTGCCCACGTTTCCGCCGTTCATCTGCGCTTTGTGCCTGCCGCTTCCGCCAATTATTCTTCCACGAATTAATTACCCGAGCGTCGCCTCGCCTTCGAACTCGGGTGACTTGCCTCTTTGGCTGGCATGCCGTTAAGCTCGCATTGAATAGCACGCGCGCCTCCAATCCGGATGCTCAAAGCGCGCCATTGTATAAACGTTTTCGCGCAACAGAGGCTTTATACGAAAATATTAAATCGCGACAGGATAGCGAGCGAGATGAATGGTTCTTTTCAACGTTTCAATGCTTTTTCGTTCGACGCTCGAGAAACAATTTTTTGAACGGGCGCACTCGTATGTTCGTATTATTCAACTATATTTTGGTGTAATACTTTTCGAGTTTTAAGAGGGTGAAGTTTCGTTCGATGGACGGGGCGAAGATTCTTCAAGCGGTTCTCGACTTCTAGACGCTTCAAGTTGAAGTTTGACTTTCATTAAATTTAGCAAGGGAAATTTTTAAACCGCTCTTTAAACACGTTCGACACGTTTTCAGGCTTTGATAAGTGGATCGAGCATCCAGATAGCGTGCAAGAAGAATTAAAGATCAAAGAATTTCATTCCTCGATATCAAGAACGTTTGCAGAAATAAATTATTCTTAGTAATAGTAGTCCTTTGAATTTGATTTATTTTTCGTCTCGTTTCGATTCTTCTCCCGTTTACGTTTAAATTGGAAAATTATTATTTAATTAATCCCGAACGATACGTTCTTTACCATTTGGTACCATTTCAACGATTTCATTCACGTTAACAAAAGATCGTGTACAGTAACGAGACAGATATAAACTCGTATTTAAAAAAATATATGCATGTATATCAAAAAGAGGGACTTGAGGCTTTTCTAAATTCTTGCTGGTCCAACGTGCTTTTTGTATCGTGCGAAACCGTCATAAATTACCAAGCTACGAGAACCATCCAAGTCGCGGTAACCAGAGGGTTGTTCCGCAAAGCAGACTCTCTCTCACCCCTGTACTCGCTCGTCCTCCACCAAACCCTTGTTGCCTGCAAATGTATGTACACGAGCACAAAGGGTCGGGCGGACGTGTACACGTTGGCCCTCGAAAAGGCGGCGGCGTGATAATTGAAAACCACGTCTAAGAAGCGGTTTGTTATCTTTCAATTTTACGTTTGAAGCGTACCCAACCCATTACTTAGAAGGCGTTCTCTCTCTCTCTCTCTCTCTTTCTTTCTTTCTTCCCCTTCTTTCCCTTCCTTCGTTTCCTTTCTCAGCGCGGAGAAAGGTTTCTTTCATTCGTGGGAATAGTGGTTTCGTATAAAAATGACTGGAATTACTCACATCGCGCGATACGAGGAATAGGAAAATTTAATTAAACGAAGTGTTTTTTCAAAAATTCAAGTTGGCACGGTTCGAGGTATTAAAAATGCACAATGTTGGCGGTGCATGCAATTTAATAACACAGCGTGGATTATTGAGAAATTGCACGCGAGAGAAAGAAATTTTCTTTTTTCGAATTGTTAGAGGCGCGGCGCTGTGATTAACGATTTTCGATGGATTTTCGTTTGATGAATTTCATTCTGGATGCTTGTCATTATTGGAAATGGAAATATATGTTGAAAATGAAGAATCTATTTTGCATAGAATTGCATAGAATTTCTACGTATCGAGACGTCTTCGCAGTAATGAAGTTTTGTCTTGAGCTTTAGTTGGAAAAATCGTGAAAGATGAGATGGCAAATCGACTCAAAATGAAAGTCGACTGGCAATAAATCGACTGGCAACGAAACTCGATTAAATAAAGTTGGCCTTTGGAAATCTCGCGTGTAATTTTTTCGCGAATTTCATTTCGTCTCTCGGTGACATACACGGAATTTTTGCTGTCGAGTTTGTTCGATTCAAACGAATCTTGAGTTTCTTTTTTTCTTCCTCTTGCATAATCGGATCATTTTTCACGTGCAACTTCAATCGTTTCCACTCAAAAGATAAAACAATCAGAATTCGAATAGTATACGTGTTTTATTACTCCATGATCTTCGAAGAAATGTGATATAAGCGATGAAAAAGTTAAAGTTGAAAAGTCTGAATATTTTTTTTTCTCAAACATGAAATAGCAATTCTGCTATTATATTAATATCTTTGGAATTTAATAAGTAATCTTATACACGTATTACATTTATATTAAAAAATATGCACAACAATTTGTACTACTTTTTCATTGAATTTCATTTATTTCTCGATAGGTTTATTCAAGCTGCAAGATCTCGTGAAATCACCGCCTTCGGCGAGAACCGAGATGTATATTCGCCAGGCAGGACCTGGTTCTTACAGGCAAGTTCTTCGAGAAGTCAGGCACAAGGAGATCTACAAGTTGATCGTCGACACCGATCCTGCGCACATGCAACAATTTTTTCGTGCGGTGAGTCGAGATGATAAATTATCCAGATGATTAATTCGAGGATACCGCGTTAGATTCTTTTTATATATATATATGTATATATATCTTTCAACATCCGTCTGTCTGTTTTCGACTGGAATCTACATTCTACAATATCTCCAGCAACTTTAAACAAATCCTCCATCCATCGAACATCTCAAGAATTCTATTACAATCAAATTGCAATCTTTAACCCCTTCGCTTTAGATTCATCGAAAATTTCGAAATTTCACGAGAACCGATTCGAGATACCTTTGAATCGATATCCGCGCAAAGGATCGGACGAAACAAGTGGCGGAAGACTTAAAAAGCCCGAAATTCCACGAGTAGATGATAGCCTCCCTTTGTCGTCCACGGGACCGTTTATACGGGGCGAAATATTATATCGCCACGTGCTGCATCAAGAAAGAACCGGGCAGAGATCTCTTGTCTAGGAGAAACCCATGGAAGCTTACATCCTTATTCGTAGGAGCGGAAAAAGAGAACGATATGGTAGGAGGGAAGGAATGACGTTTGCCGATCGATACCGCAAGTATAGCTTCGGGGATAGATACAGAGAACGAAGACCCATAATACTTGCTCGCGGGGTATTTAATCTCCGAAGTCTCCGTAATGCTATCGAGAACGATATATCGAGGAAAAACGATTTATAACTCGATAAAGGAAAAAAAATATTGTTCAAAAAAGAAAGCAATAATCCGGCTTGCCTTGTTCTATAAAATTGTCGAATGAATTATGGATCTGGATCGACGATTTTGCAATTTTCTTGAAGAATGGCGGTTAATTATAGTTGACGTTACACCGTACGATTATTTTTTTTTTTATAATAGCGTTAAATATATATGAAAAATTACACCAATTTGGACACATCATGATCACATTAATGATCGACACGATGAATTGAGATTAATCGATAAACAAACTATTAATGATATATAAATAATATTCGCTAAAAATCTTGATTCTTAATTTTTTTTTAAATTTTACTTAAATTAATTACTTATGATAAAAAAAAAATTCCTAAAAACACGTATTTACAATATCTCTGTATCAATCTATTCCTGTATCAACTTACTCCAATCTTCATTAACCAAGTTCAGTCATTTCCTTTCTTCATTTATATTCATTAAAACACAAATTTCCGCGTAATGAAGAAAATTACGCACGAAATAGCAAAGCTCAACTCAAATAAAATTCGAAAATCAGCAAGTAAATCGGATAACCTCGTTGGAACTTTCCTTCCCAATTAGTGTATGTTTGTATCTCGAAACTGATTGCATCCGCAACGAGCCGGACATTTATTCGAAAAGCAAACTACTGTCAGAAACTCGTTTTCCTTACTTACATCGTTACCAAGAGATCTTCTTTGCGTTAGTCATTCGAAGACCGCAATTCCCGCGAGAAATAATAAGATAATAGAGCCGAAAAGGATATATCAGGTGGGAAGAGGGATGCAATTTGCTCTGTTGCAATTAGATTTAGCGATAACCAGTGAGATTTCCAACATACAACGATTCGTTTCGTTCACGAAACAAACACCACGGTTCGCTTCTTGCGAGGATATCAACCGTTTATATCGTGATTCCTTATAAAATAAAATCTCGCGTTGAAGTTTCTATTCCGGTGAGTTATGATTGAAGGGATACTTTAATCTTTAATTGTTTTTTAATTGTTGAAATAAACTTTGAATCGAATAGACTATAAGGAATCGATCGTTGTATAAACATTGAAAAAGGGAGCAATTGTATATCAGAGTGGAATGAAAAAATTATAATTGTGTAATTATTTTTTAATAATGGAGGATATTGAGGATTTGATACGCAAAAAATAATTTTTGTGAAATTAATTTCTGAAGTCATATCCGCAAGAATTTTGTTTTTTGATTTCTTCGTTTTTAAAAATGAAAATTAATGTATAAATTTTTGGATAAAAATTTATTTATTAATCAATTTATATTTTAACAATTTAAACATTATTATGAAAGGAAATTTTTATTGATTATTGAAAGAGATGAATAGCAAAAAAATTTAATATCTTATTCCACTCTAATATACTTAAAAATATAGAATAAAATATTTTTATTTAAAACTACGATTTTCAAAAAAAAAAACAAAATCTATCATTTCTCTATGAATGCAAGTGAATAATGGACAGAAAACTATTCTATAGGTATGAAATTTTTCATAACATCCTCATTTTTTCAGAGAATCGAATTTGAATATATTCCATCAAAAATTAAATAGCTACATTGATGAATTTTCAAATTTGATTTTCCTAGCCTAAAAGAACTTAATTCTACATTTTTTTATTCTTCACATGTATAATATATAAAAATTTTTTGCAATCTTTTCTTGTATGTAGAATTAACTCTATCTCTATTTTATCCTGATAACTGGAACACTTTGTACAAATAATTGATCGTTCTTCAAAAATTTAGTATTCCTATCATAAGAGCTTCTAGCTCGAAATATATATTCAATAAGTCATAAACAGTAAAGCAGTATAATATCCTCGAAATTCATCGACTACTATATTTTATCGACTTCCATAAAACAAAATCTTCTATATACTCGCGTTATTAATATAAAATTTTCTCCATAATCTATAATTTATCGGAGAGAAAAATAAACGTATCCTCGATAAAAAAAAAAAATACGAAACGAAAAATCTCATCATCGATCGAAACATAATTTCTAATAATGCTCTCAGGGATTAAAGATGGATCCGTCCATCCGTAACAAGTTTTGCATATTTGAGTTCACATTTGCACGCGTGGAAAAAGTGTGAAACACGGTGAATCAAAGGGGAATAGGAAACGTTGGCCAAATGGAATTGCATCGAATGTATCACCATGATCGAGCTTATCCTCCAAGTTTTGGTAAATGGAGAACTACCATCGTTTGAATTCGAATGCAGAGGAGAACCACTCGAAAGGGTAATTTTCTCGATGGAAAATTTGTTCGATGTCCAATCGTAGCCCGAGTATTTTCAAATGCATATTTAATTCCAACGTTGCTATTATTGATAACATCAGTTATTTTGTTATTAATCTATTAAATTTTTCAATTTTTATTTGAAGATTATTCGAGTTCTTTTTTTTTTTCGAGTAAAACAAAAAAAAAGTAACAGGATATTTAGTTGCCAGCGAGTTGATGAAATTTTTTATTGCGAGAATCAAATTGCCGGAAGGCTCTTGCGAAGATCCTCAATCTTTCAAAGAGTATATTAAGACAACTTAGTCCGACTAATATACTTTTCTATAAAATTCTTTAACTCTCTTAAAAACACATTACTCCATCAACAATTCATCGTTTTTCAGTATGTTTATATATTGTATTTTCAGTCTGTTATTCCAAGAAATTCTCGTGTTTGCAAGTATTCTCTGTTTTCAAATATTCTTTCTTTTGGTGTTGTTCGTAGATATTTATAAGAGATAATATTTCATACCGCCACAAACAGTTGTAATCTTCTTTTAGATTGCATCCTATATTTTTTTCAGGAATTTACAAATCAATTTCACGATATATAAATATTCACTGCAATCTAAAGAAGTCTAAATTTCTTTCTCATATCTTATTTTCCAAAAATACGAAATTAACTCCATATTAAATCGTATAAACTTTATATCAAATCCGATAGATCTTTCAAAAATTGGATCGCGCTAAAAGCAGTTCCAAAATCGATGGGAATAAAACGAGAAACCTACGAGAATTTGACGATTAACGTTTGCTTTTTTTTCTTTTTTCGTACCTCTTCTATACTCTATAATCAAAATCCTGTAAACTAAAATCGTTGCGGTTGTAAGCCATAGATGAAATGGTGCGTTTTCACAGCGCTGGTTCGACGAATGTTCGCACAATGACGAATATCGTCAATTTTCCTGGATCGGTCAGCAGAATCGCTCGACCGATATTTTCGAGCAGATTCATCTCATCGCCATTGAAACACGACCTATCCTGATCGAGGAGACGATGTTTTCGTCCACGATTTTCATCCTCTTTTCACGCGCATCATTCTGAAAATTTGCATTATCCACGAAGAGCATCAGAGTGTTATTCATTATTCTGTTATTAAAATAGATTCGACGAATTTTTTCGTTATGTTCATTGCCACTCGACAAATTCACGGGATAAAAATCGATTTAGAGGATACGAATAAAGGGGCAACGACAATTGACAAAGAGATTGACGATTGACAAAGGGATTGATGAGAAAATGCCTTCGTTTTAATCAATAGAGGATCGCTTTCAGCCTCTTTTTTTCTCTCTTGTAATGCCATTTGTGGATTAATTTTAGGCTTTTTGACTTCTACGTGGATTATATTGTAGATAAAACAAAAAAACGAAAAAAAAATTTTTTTGAAATTCGTCGTCGTGAATTTCATCATGATACGAATTATTTCGTCTCTATCATTGTATTACATCATTATTGTTATTATGTTTGAACATCATTCGTATGCTATTTGAGAACAACAAATGTGCGATGTCTTTTATAACGTCTAAAAGAAAGTTGATGGATAGACGAATATCACTGGATGAATTTCATTGGTTGATCCCAAACCTTCTTCTTGCTTCCGAAAGGCAATCTTAGCTCAAACCTGATAGAAGGAAATCCGGTATTTGCATGCTACGTCCCGTAGGGATTTTTGCGGATATCCCTTCGTTGACTAAGTAATCAAAAAACCTACGTGATTCTCTCTTTCTATCTTCGACTCTTCCTTTTACGCGTTCAACCCTCTATCTTGCTTGTTTTCCTTCCGCTCTTTCATTTTTCCACCTCGCTTTTATCTCCTATTCTTCTCTCTCGAGGAAATCCGTACACATTTCCATTTCTACGAACGGTTTTTCGCAATCTTCGAATCACGTATGGAATTAAGGATATAAAAATGATCGTGATATACATCGTTTCGCGTGTTGAAATATTTCAGGCTTTAAACGATTTTAAAAAGGCGTTATTTAAAGTGGATGTCATTATTTCACGCTATCGAAAGATTTATTTTTCTTCAACTTTTAAAATTAATTTTATTTCATATAACATCGGTGTGAAATATCGAATCTATTCGATAACACATCGAGCTTTCCAAAAATTCAATTATCAAAAACTTATCAAATATTTCCTCATCGAAATCATTTCAACTTCAACTTCATCTTTTCTCCGATCATTCTTTCAAAATACAAGAAATTAAATTTGGCATCCTCATCCTCCGATTACACCACTAATTTCTTTTTCTTTATGTCTATGTTACAGATCCTCCAGCTGCAAATGAACGATTACAGATATCACTACATGTTCACCACGTTCGTAAGTATTCATCAGTAGTAGATATTCTGACGCGTTTCTATACCGATGGAAATTGGAAACGGAGCTTCCTTAATGAAGCACACGCTTTAAATACAACCCCGTGGAAGTTGGTTTTGCTCCTTTGAAGGATTCTAAATTGAGTACTCGCGAATTCGTTGCTCTTCACTTAATTAACCGACCACAAGTAGAGACTGTCAGTAGGTCTGTCGTCGTATCCAAATTATGACGAACATTATACGAATGCTCAATTATTGCTTTTTAACATTTGAAGAATTAAATTTAAATAAATATTGTTATTAATATCTATTGAATACATCAATGATGCTTCTCATTGTGAATACTTAATAATTCTGATTTCTTCTCGGTTCAGAAATTTGGAAAATAATAACTTCGATGAGGTGTTTGTTAAAGCGAAAAATCGGAGCAACTATCTCGAAATTCAATGTCAATTTGGTGGTATCAAAACGTGGCGGAAATTCATTCGTTTTGCACTCGAGTATTCTGTTTCCTCCCCTGTTTTCGATATGATTGCATTCCACCAACCTTCACTTGGAACTCGAGCACAGAATTCTGTGCTCGATTGTGTGAGTGCTTGAAATCGTTACAAATATATTTCGATTATCTTTTAAAAATGATTGTGAGTGCCTGAAATTGTTGCAAATATATCTCGATCATTTTTAAAAATCATTTCGAATGAAATTGCACGATCTTTGACAGTTACATCTGGTTTCGAAATGCTATTCGCGAAAATACCGTTGGATATTTTTCGATTTACGATATATTGGTCAGAAATTGATAAAAAATACATTGAAAATAAAATATGATTTTCGAAACAATATTATTTATATTTTCCATGAAATAATTGAATATATATTTCGTGAAATTTTATGAATTTTAAAATAAATCACACGATAAAACTTATATTTATAATTTCAAAATTGACGAGTACAAAAGGAAATTTGATAATTCCATTTTTGTTAATTCTCTCTTTTTCTCGTCATTTGTAAAAGCTTTGATATGCCGAAAAATTGGAAAGCTCGACGAGTCGTATATTAAAAATTTTGTAAAAATTGTAAAATTTAATTTATTAATTTTCTGTTTTATGATCTTATCACGAGGCCAAATCAAACGTAAAGCCATTCTTTGACGTAAATGTATATGGGATATCAGGGCACACGTTTATTCAAAGGATCGTTGAAGCGTCACGGATTCGGGAAACATGACAGAGCAATAAATCGTGCAACCGCGTTCCTCGATTACTCACGAATCGATGTAAATTAACCGGTGGTATTTGTCTATCAACAGCATTCGAAAATGAATTTCCCAATGAACGCGGAGCATCGCAATCATTCGCTTTAAGGATCGCATCCATAGAACGATAAATCGAAAATATATTCGTTTGAAGTTTAATGAACGATTAATACATTTCGCATTTTTTTTTTTTAATTCGTGTTACGCGAATATATTTATTTTAATTACAAATTTAACGCGACAGCAGTGTCGTTAAATCTCAAATATAATTAACAAACGTGCAATTTTCAAATAATATAAAAAACACGAATAAACTTATTGAAACAGTATACGATTAAAACGAAAGATATTGAACATAGAGTAAAAAAATTAGTGTGAAAAAAAATCCTCTGTTCTCGTACTACTGTTCGACATATCAAAATTTATTGCATACAATATCAATCTATTCGTTTGTCTCCTTCTTTTTATTCGTTTATACTATCTGCTCCTCCTGGTATGCCATTTTGTTTACTTGTTTATCCAGTTTGTTATTATATTTACATTCCTTCGTTCCCTTACTTTTATTCGTTTGCACAGCGTATTAATCAATTTTTCGAATCGCGACTTTTTCATAAAAGAAAAATAGATAGGAATATTATCTGCATATATTGCGCGTTAAATTCATAATAAAAATAAAACCTAAAATCGAGATCAAGATCACGAAAAATACGCATTTTGCTAATTACAAATTGAACACGAGTTGAATAAAAGCCTATTCTACAAAAAGAAATATAGAAAAAAATTTGTTTAAAACAATTAATCAAAAACAATAATAATTGACTTCTGTCTCATTTTCAACCGTTTGAATCTATCTTATCCCATCTGCACCGTGAATTATAGATATTCTGTATACACAGATTGAGAACAGTGGAATTACTCGTTGGTCGACGAGATGAAAATTCGAAATGAAACTAACTGCTAATTGTGACATTTATGAGCGGGCAAATATTGACCGAAATAATTATTCCTGATCAAACATAAAGCGTCGAGGGCGGTTGACAAAGGATTGTCTATGAATTTCACACGATCATCGATCGTGTCGACTATTGTTAATGTTACTCACGCCTCGCGTAGCGGTTCGGTAATACCTTCATAATTGTCGATCATTGGAAACGTAACCGCGTGACACCCGTGAAACATGAACTCTCACGAGAGAGTCTAATCGACTCGCATAATATTATATCCCGAAGAAAACATGTGCATACATCAGATATGAAATAAATATCACGCTTCACGCGACAAATTGTCACGAATTCAATGCTTACGAATCAATGACATAACATGGAGGAATGTATGAATTAATTGTGTGAAGCGAGGTTAATGACACGAAGATTACAACAAAATTTATTCCCGTATAAATTTACCAATTACCGAATAAAAAAATCCGTGGAAATTATAATTGTTGTAAATCATATTTAACCGATTGATCGCACTTCTACAAAGTCTATAAACTTTGGAACCAATCTATGAACTTGAAAAAAGGGTAAATTAAGCTTCTAAAGATCCGACGATAGCCGTACAGTTCGCAATAATGTTTCCCTTCGCTTTGAAAAGACTGTTCTTCGATCCTCCAGATGAATTAAGATTGGATAGATTTTCTTGGACAAAGAGAAATCGACAGCCAATATCTAACTGTTTTAAAGAAAAGTAGAGACTTCCGCCTATAGATAGGATCGCTTTCATCGAGATTTTCAAAGAAATTTTAATCCATTGAACGAATCCAATATTGGAAAATACAGTAGCTATCATAGTAGTGTTTTATTAACAGGATTAACCCTTCTTGTCTGGATAATGTTTTATTAATGTTTTTTTTTTTAAATTTATTTTATTATTCCTTTTTTACACATGAAAATAATATATCGTGAGTGGAATAAATTGGAAAATTTGCACAATAATATTTTTCGAAATAAGAAGAAATAAGAAGGAATTAAAATTTAAATTTTTGAAAACTCAAATCCAAAATATTACGAGATCTCGAAATTCTTGAAATGCAGAATTTTTATTAATGAAATGAAAACACATTCATATCGTTACTATAATTTTATAAATTATTCATATGAATTAATATTTAAATTTCGAGAATTTCGAAGTTCTAACTATCCTATCTCTACACTTAATAATAATGGATATGAATATACTTGGAATAAAAGAGAAAAAAAATATGATTTTTAGGACATAGAGACATTCGATCTGGAGGATTTCAAATACAACAGTGTGAACATGACTGCGTTCCGTCTTGTGGACCTCGAGGAACCAAAGGTGGCCGAAGTTCTGAGACAGATGGAACGTTTCCAGCCGATTGGCCACGCTATCCTCAACAAAACCGGAGTTATCCAGGTTGGTGGAAAGTTCAAGTTACTTCGAGGTGTATGCTCGACCGCCGGAAGTCGCTATCGGCCTCAAAACTCGTTACACCCTAGCCCATTGAAATGGAAAACGGTTTTCTACGTTTCCGTTGAACGATCTCGCGCTAACTTTAAGAAAGAATAGTCAATGCCTGATATTCTTTATGGAAGTCTCCTGATTTACATCGTATAACATCCGAGGATATCGCGTATGGATGGATAAAAATCGAAGACATGAGCTAAAAGCATTCCATTTTGGAAGATCCATCCATTTCGGGCGAGAAGAGAAGAGAGTAAATATTATAGTCCAGATACAAAGCGTTAAGATACAAAGATTTATGATAATTTATCGAAGCTTTATTCGATTTTATGATGAAAATAATTCACAAGATTCTCTGCGGTTTTCTTTAAAAATTTATGATTGTATAACGACAAAAATATAACAGGGAATCGTATCTTTTTTTTTTAAATCATATCTAAATTACAGATAAACTATACAAGTTATTATCCTCCAAAAAATTAGTACACGAAACAGGTATTATAAATGAAGAAATCTTGGACGAAATTTTAGAAAAACGACATGATTCAACGAAAAGACTAAAAATTACAAGATCCGATTCGAACGACAATATCACGAGAATTTGAATAAAACAAAAACGATTGCAAGAAGAATTTTCTGCTGTCAACGATGTTTGTTTTAATTGGCAACGATCATTCATGAATAAGTTATACGGCGATGAACAAGTGATATATTGAACTTGTTTGACGGGTATCAATCGGGTTTCGAGTTATTGTTAATAAACTGCGAATGAAAGATGTAGTTTAACGTATCGTACAGCGGAAAATTATACGTCGAAGTGAGATGAAAGTATTCGAATATGGAATAAATTGCAGAAAATTATGGAAATCAGCGAATGAAACGCGTAGAAGATTTGCATTAAAAATTCGATACATAATAACGTTCTCTCGATCCAGAAATTACTACGTTAATTCTATTTAATTAGGTTAATATTTATGAATTTAATCAGTCTGTAGCTACGTGTTATCGTATTCGTTCGGTTCCCCGACATTTCGCTGCAATTTTCTTTATTAGTTTATCTTGTTAATAAACGTATAATTTTCTTTCTGCATGTATTATATCAGATATATATTACAATTTTTCTTCCGTTGTTATTAAATAAAAATTAGAGAAGAATATAACATAGAAAAAAAACAAGTTTCGAGTGGAGTTAAAATTAACTCAATATTAATCTGAATAACGAAAGAAAAAGAAGAAAATGTCAACAGCATTCCATTGCTGATATTTTGTCAACAATTAAGCGATATTCATTATGAATATTGAAACGAAATCACTCGATCAAGAGTATTTAAAACACGATCCAGTTTCTTCTCAAAAACTTCAATAACCATATTTTTGATTTTTTGATCAATTTTCCCCGAATATAAATAAAAAAAAACTACAAGATACAATTGTTACTCATCAATAACAAGCTTTTAATTTCTCTTGAGAAAAAAATGTTATTGCTTTGTAAAAATTATAATATGATATGTGCAGAAAGAAAATTATACGTTTATTAATAAAATAAACTAATAAAGATGCAAATTACAACGATCGATTCGATTTTTCACCGAGAAATTTGCCGATATAGTTTTGATAAATTTCAAACGAAAGATCGAACAGCGATTTAAAATAATGAATAAAATTGTTCTGCGTTCCTTTGCACTTTTTTGCAACTTTTTATTGTTCGGTAAATTATGAGATTCGAGACAAGAATCGACAATTGACTTTACAAAGTAAAACTTCTCTCTTGAATCCGCAGAGAAAGTTCGATATAGTTTATTATACCACTTGTCCGATAAACTTTTTCTAAAATCGATTTACGCGAAATTGGGTCGGATAAGAAGAAAGATCGTGATAAATAGATACGAGCAACTTTTCACACGAGAGGAAAACACGTATGTTTCAGGCAGAACCAGCTTTGGTGTACGACAGTGTGCAGGTTTTCGCACACGGTTTGGCGGCATTGGATCGAAGCCACGACCTGAGGCCCGCCAATTTATCATGTGAAAAAGAGGAGCCTTGGGACGATGGTTTGTCCCTTTACAACTACATTAACGCCGTACGTACGTTCTATAATTTTTGATTATCGAGTTCGTTTACTAACGAGACCGCAATGTGCAACACAAGCAATTCGAATGTGGAAAGTTTTAATACTGATGAAACGTGGATAATGAAAGAGATAAAATACAAGAATAAAAAGTATCAATTTCTTGCTCAACCTAGCAAAGAAATTTTTGAAGAATTCATAAAATAATGCAACAAATTTTTGTATCAAATTTATAAGGAATTACGAAGGAAATTGAAGAAACTGAATTGAGAAATCCTCCCATAAACTACCACGATAAATTTTTTATGAAAAATAAAATCGTGAACGTAACTAATTCACATTATTTATTATAAAATATATAACTATATCACTGATATTAATTATACAATGATATAATTATATATTGTATATTTAATAATTTCCCTGCTCTCTAACTGAGATTGTATAAATTTTAAATTCATTCCGACTGCGATAACCTGTTCCATTCGTCTTTTATATGAAAATTTATTTATTTTCAAATAAATAAATTTTTCTTTTTTAAGTTTGCAAAACGTTCAAACTTTTGATCGTTGTGCAACGCAATTAGCAAAAAAAATTGTAAAAAGAAAAAAACCTAAATCCATAAAAAATAAAATATAAATTGCGAGAGATTTTATCAATATTTTTCATTTTCATGATAATGAAAATGAAAAATAATTGATAATTAAAAGCATAAAAGAAAAAAAAATACAAGCGAAATAAGCTTTCCAGAAAGCACTACACTATTTTGACCATCTACTTTATCTACTTAATTATTTGATTATGCATGCACTTAAATAAATTATATTATATATATATATATTTAGATATAAATATAATATATATATGATATATTTTATTTAATCAATATTTTTTTATAATCTACTATTTTCTTCCTATAAAAGAAACAAATGAAATAAATTTAAATACAACACTGAAATATAACACTGAAATATAACACTGAAATACAAGACATTCTCTACCTATCTTAAAAATTCTTTTCATATATTGAAGAATTAAATATTTTATTTATAAAACATGCCTATCAAAATTTTAAGAGATTCTTCTTCTAACTCTATTTACATTACGACACGATGTGATCTCAAAAAAATAAGGATATAAATGCAAATAAGGATAGTTAGTGAATGAAGTCGTAGCTCAATCAAATATTAAAGATTTCATGGTATACAATGAGGAAGTTCAAGGATGGCAAACGATTCGTGAACACATTGAAAAGGAGTTCGTTTTAGATTCTTTTGGAAAACTTTGAATTATATAGAATAGGAAAATCGAGGATATCTTCTACTAAGAGGAAGAACACATCATAATTCTTACCAAAAACCTATGTTTTTATGTTTTTTTGATCTTACTTAAAAATTGAAAGATTTATCTCATAATAAAAAAGAATGAGATAATCTTTGTCCCATTCCACTGAAAGCTGAGAGGTTCCTGAAACAGACTAAGTAAAAAAATTAATAAAATTTAATAAATACTTTTTAGCAAATGAAAATCAAAAATCTTCTTCCTTTCCTCCGATTTTCGTCGATTCGAACCTGTAACAAACTCAATTTCAATTAATAATCAAAAGTAATAATTAAAAAATAATTCATATTTAAAAAAAGAAACATTAATCAAATTATTAAAATATTACATGTTAAGTAACTGAACTGAAAACTATTTATCAGAAAGAAAAAAAAATGCTTTTCAATAATTACATTTGTAATTATATTTATAATATTTTTAATAACAAATGCTCTTGATGAAAGGGTGCTGAAAAGAAAAAATGACGAAAAGGTAACCAGAAGGGTTACCAAAATAGGTATCCACTCAATATAAATCCGAACAAACCGTGAGTGGAACATTTTTTTATATTTCGCAACACTAATAAACTAAAATTTCCAAAGAAAACGCGAAGAGTG